GAAGTAGAGATGACCAGAAATAGTGGAGGACGCCAGGTTAATGAGGAGAGATGTCAAGAACTAGAAACAAGACTCAATTATTACAAAAGTAGATCTATTTTTCTCTTGTTTAGCTCTCATCTATCTGCATATGGATCATAACAATATATTTAACTTTTATGAATATATGATTTATGGGTATGTTTTTTTTTTTTAGAATAGAAACACTATAAAGAGAATTAATACTAGTACTCTGGAAATTTTTTCATACCTGTTCATGTATCAAATGAACCATACTACAATTTAATTTTAAAATTGAATGATTTTGTTAGGGATCTGAAGTGTTTTGATCTGTGTTGCTTACATTAGCCAAAGAATAAGTAAGCTTCTCTGTTTGAAAATTTGTCTGTTCCCTGTTGTTGTTCTTGTCATTATTTTAAAAGTTAACACATTTTTATCATCTTCTCTGAAATCACTTGGACAAATTTCAAGCAAACAAACCATAAAACAATCTTAGTTGAAAGGGGATTCAATTACAACAAAAATGAACCTCTGGACCAGACAAGATGAACTTTTCTGAAAACTTCATTACATAATGAAAAATTAAATTTGTTCAAGTCATGATTCCAAAGAATAGGGACGTAGGACCACATTGTGCAATCAAAGTTAAATGGAGGAATATAGAAGGGGAAAAATCTTCCAAAGAACAACAAACTCAGGCATGATTTCTAGTTATACTGATATGGAAGCATTCTAAAATTGTCTTGTTGTGATTCAAATTTTTTTCAAATCATGACCCCTGGGGATAGGTTTGGGCAACAATTAGGCAAAGGTTCATACAGAAAAGTGTAGTAGATAATCTTGAAACCATTCTTTTCAAGGACAGTAAAGTCAGTAAAGGCATGATTTGTCAGATCGACATTGAAGCATCCTCACTTAGTGAAGATTCATTTTTGTTCAAATCATGACCCCCAGGGGTAGGATGGGGGCTGCAACAGGTGATCAACATTTTACAAAAGAATATATGGGGAAAGAATCTCCTCAGCAAGGCCTTTATCACTCATTTGAGTATCTGCAGTCCATGGGCCTCTTTTTATACCTTGTTTTTTTTCTTTTTCAGACAAGGTTAATGAGTTGGAGCAGCGAGTTACTATTCTCCAAAACAGGTGTGTAAAGGAAATAATTATTAATCAGTGTATGAATGTTCTATCATTCTTTTGTATATTTATATACTGTAAACCAACTTTTATTCGCGACGACTTTATTTCGCGATTTACCAGGGATAAACTAGTTCGCGACGATTAATTTTCGCGATTAAGCCTTTTTGCATTTGTTTTTAATAGACGAATATACTATAAGGATCGGTTCGCGGCGAGAAATATTCGCGATGACCATGTTCTCGCGAACTTCGCGAAAATTTCTCGCACGCGAATAAAAGTTGGTTTACAGTACCTGTAAAGGAGAGAAAGGCATAGGAATCATTTTACATGACAAGGCTGTACATTCAATCACTCTTATATTTTGTTTTTGAGGTACTTTCCAGCAATTTGATGTTTATATAAAAATTATAAGTATATATATAAAAAATTTAACAAGATACTTTTATAAACATTGCACTTATTTTAAAGTAACGTTTACCAATTTCAATATACCCTGAAATACACAGTACAGTTATGTTGGTGACTGCACTGAATTAATAGTGGATGTGATTGCCTAGTATTATTTTTAAATAGTTAAAAAGGAAAGTCTAATAAATCTGTTTTCAGTGCTGGAAAAGTACTTTTTGATAAAAGTCGGAAATGCAAACTTTAATTTATTGGAAATGAAAAATATAAAGTGTCAGAAATGAAATGCTGAATATTTTAAAAGAACTATATGATATTGCATGTCTTTGTCCCCACAAAAGTCAAATTTTGAAAAATTCTTGAAATGTGCTAAATTCTTTAAATTGTGTGAGAAATATAAATTAATAGAACATATTATAGTTTCAAAGTAGTTTAATAACAATTTGTGTTTATATGATGTCACAAAGTAGTTTGATTTTGTATCATTTTTTTGGAAAGAGGACAAAATGGACAAAATTTCAACTATTTAAGCTTTAAAAGTTATAGAGTGCAAGTTTGCTCAGGGACGATATTTACATATTTCATTGATATTATCATTCTACACATTATATCAAAATATTGAGCCTGATCAGACCTGCGCTCGGTGACTTTTACTCAAAATATCGATGTAATATATACATTTTTCTGTAAAAATCATGGAAATTTTTAATTTACGTCATTTTCGCGTCATCATTTCAAACATATGACGTCATATTGCTTATGAAAATATTCAGTGTTTTGAAGTCAGCATATATTCCCCTGTTCAAGAACAAAATTAAATATTTCTCCGTAAAAGTTTGATTTAGGGGGCAAATATTGTTTTTAACCGAATAAAGTTCTTTTCGAAAAGGATATGCAGTTCTCAGAGAGAACTTTTTAACATTAATGTTTATTTAATATATTCAAACCTATTTTAATTGATATATTTTAAATGCTTATCTATACAGTCATAAATATATGTTTAGGCCAAAGTTTTTATTTTTTTTGGTTTACGATTTTTTGACACAAAAATATGCATTGGGCGGTCGAAAAATAAAAATAAAAATAATTTGGAACCTTGACATATTTTTTTCTCAAGTAGCATTGAAATGTATTCAAATAAAAATAATAAACACATAAGATTTTTCAACTTTATTATTTTTTCTTTCCATTCGGTTTTATGTCAACAAAAATGAATCACACGTCAAATGACTCAAGAACAGAAATGGGAGTATCAGGCTCTGTTACTGTTGATGGTTTTCATTATTCTGACTTACAACTCCGAGTTTCCATAATAGACACATTGCACTGGGACAAATATGGGTAAAATTAAGTGAATCGGCTTTTCTCTGTTCAGTCTTTCCACTATATTATGATTTTTTTTTAGAACTTCGAAACTAGTACATGTAATGGATTGCTTTCACAACAAACATGTGTCCATGGACCAACTTAGACCCAAAATTAAGGAGACATTTCTCCCTCAAAGAAATTTAGGGAGAAGTTTTAAAATTTAGGGAGACTTCTTGGTGCGCGTATATGGCGCACATTAATCGCTATAAAACTATTTCATTGTTCATAACTTACATACATTTCAATAATTTTTCTGTATAAACACTGTATTTAAAATGATTAAACAGGAGATGTTAACTTATGTTGATCGGTTCCGATGTGTGACTTCTTAGAAAGTTAATAACTTCACAATTTAACAGTAAAAATACGTACTATGTAAAAAGATCTAAAATCTTCTCCAACATATAATGATATTTGGCATGACATCGATAGTGTCCAGCTGTTTTGCATCTTGTGTGCAGGTTGCACAACAGTATTAATTTCTGCTATATATTCTTACCAAAAATGTGCAAGTTTGAGTAGGTGTAATAAATTCAAAACAAACTTCTCAGAAGTTTCCTTTTCAGATCTTGTAAAACCATTCTTTATAAAGATTTTAGTACCAAAAAATACATAGCCATCCAGCAAGGCACGCAAGTTTGTTTCGGTCGAAGTCGAGCAGGTGTTTGAAAATCTAGTCCAGGGCCTAATCACTCCCCACTCTTGACAGTATATAGAAAAATCAGCACGACCTAAATTTTAATAAATCTGGTCAATACAGGAAGTTTACATGTTGTTTTTCATCTCATAAAAAAATTCAGCTCCAGTCTCGTATCAAAAGGCCTCAATCGGAAGGGAAAATTCCGGGATTATTTTCCGTCAGCCATGATTTGACGTGAACCAAAGTGTAATACTGTTATGACATAGCTATTCCACCTAAAAATTAAATAGAAATCATTGGTAATATAATGATCATCAATAGGTCCTCAAGTGCAGAACTTAGTTATAAATAGAAAGAATTTCATTGGTTATCCTTCCCATTGTTATTGAAATAAGTTCAAATAACCTCTACCTGAAGTGGAGGTTGGCTCCAAAGGGCAGTAACTCAATCTCATTATTGAAGGGGTAATTCCTATAATGAAAGATAACTCTCACTTCATACCTTCTATAGTCTTTTTCTCAAAATGTAGTAAATAATCTTCAACTCTGATCTCTCTCTGTTAACTGAAACTCCCAGTCATTCTTCCAGTCTTTATCATCCCAGTACACAACCTAAAATATTGTTTGTTTAGAGATTATAAACCTGTTCTTATCAGCTCCTTAGTTTATTAAACAAGTATACAATGTAAAATATAATTCATAGATGTTCTTATTTATAGCCATAAATAAGTAATTAAATATATATATAATTTAGAAGTATGGCGGATACAGTTATAAATATTTTAAGTTAAATAGATATTACATATATTTCAAATGAACATTTAGGCAATACACCTTACACCAAAAACATTAACATAAACAATGTATGAACATTTTAAAACATGCACAAGACATAAACATACTACCATTAATAATTAGACAGTTATGAATGCATCATATGAAGAAGAAAAAAAGATTGACTGATGTATGTTCAAATTGTTCAAATAGTAAATTGAAAGAAAATGAAATCTTGTGACTTTTTACACCTGAAAGAATTCAATAATATCCATTTTGACAATTCTAATGAATTATTTTACATTCAACCTTTTCAGTCGTTGAAATTTTTTGACTTATTTCCACAATTCCTAGTATTTTTGATAATAAAAGCAGATTTTACTTTAATAAATGAGTAATATGTTTCTCTTGTTAGACAATGGATATTTTCTTAAATTCTGAATTGACTTCTAAAAGTTCCCTTTTTTAAGTCATCTATGTACATATATGTACTTCAGTCTTCTATCTTTTTTGTGTGTTATATTGTGCATTGTGTGTGAACATTTTATTATCATCAGCTTCTTTTCTGGGACTGCTGAACCAGTGACAACCAATTTTGGCATATAGCATCTGTGGGTAAAGGGAAACAGTCAAATATTGTGAATTTCATGCCCACTCCCCGCAGCCTATGGGATGGGAGCAAAACCATCAGAATTAATGCAATCTTTAAATAATCTTCTTCTTTATGGTTGGACAACAGTCAAACTTTTGGCACTAATGTAATAATTACAGAGCCCTTTAGCAAAATTAAGTGTCAAATGGACAGGGATTCTGGAGGAAGTGTGGAGCTTTAGGTAGTCATCATACAATAAAAATGCATTATTTCTTGGAAAATCTTTTTCTTTGCCCATGAGCTGTATTTTACATATTTACTTTTATAGATCGTTTACATTGTTGTATTGTACTGTTTTATTATTCTCGGCTGATCACTATGGCCATTTGACATCTTGTAAATTTATTTAGAGGATATGCTTTAAAAAATTGTTATTAAGTGCCATGCAATTTTGTGAAACAGTGTAAAATTATCATTATTGAAGATAAAATAATTGTATGCAAAATTTCTTTCCCTACCAAGTCATTTGCCTGCAAACTGGACAAATATTAGACTTGGGTTCTGTATATCTTGGTCTGTTTCCTCAGGCCCAGCAGTCTCTTATAGATTGATCTCTGATTTTTTTCAACCAAACTTTGGCAATTAATGATCCTGGATGGATTCCATCGGCCAAAAGGGAAAAATTAGTAAATTTCCTGAGTTTTGATGTTTTCTTTGTTCCTGATTTTGTTTTGGAGGTTTTGTGTAGATCAACAGAAAATGCTGGTGAATGGGTTTTAAGATTAGTGTTGATTTCCTTTATTTTGTTGTTTAATTTAAAAAGTTGTTCTTCTAGTTCCTTATCTTGTTCTTCAAAAATTTGTGGGTTTGGGTGTCCTTTCTTTATATTCCAGGCTTTTATTGAATAAGGTGGTACTTCTAAGATGGTGACTTTCGAGCCTGGATATTTATTCATAATGTTAATTATCTCATAAAATTTTGTTTCTATATTTTCTACGACTTCATTTTTATTTTGGTTTAGACTAATGTACTTATTGTTTCTACTGGTCAAATTGCAGGTACCTAACCAGACATAAAGCCACACATTTCCATATTTCCTGATTTTGTTATCTATGTTTCTTTTGAGCCACTCGGTACTGTCCTCAATCTTCGCGCCACTTTTAGAAAACCAAATAATGTCTACCTTGTTGGTTATTGCTCTTTCGAGCCATTTTCCCTTACTATCAGA